GACTAATGTGAGAGGACTTCAGGACAGAGACCTGAGACCAGGACTAATGTGAGAGGACTTCAGGACAGAGACCAGGACTAATGGACTGGTAATAGTGTGCCTTTCTTTCCGGGGGTGGAGGTTGGGGGTGGGGGGGGGAGGGGGGGGGGGGGGGGGGGGGGGTGGGGGGGGAGCCGGGGCTGAAGGGGTAGGGGGGGGGGGGGGGGGTTGGGGGGGGGGGGGGGGGGGGGGGGGGGGGGGGGCGGGGTGGATTGGTTGGGGGGGGGGGGGGGGGGGGGGGGGGGGGGGGGGTGGGGGGGTGTGCGAGGGGGGGGGGGTTGGGGGCGGATGGGGTGGTTGGGGGGTGGCCAGTGAATAGGGGACGGGCGGGAGGACGGGGGCGGGGGGGTGGGGGGGGGGGGTGGTGGATGGGGGGGGGGGCGGGGGGGGGGGGGGGGGGGGGGGGGGGGGGGGGGGGGGGGGGGGGGGGGGGGGGGGGGGGGGGGGGGGGGGGGGGGGTAGAGGGGGGGGGGGGGGGGGAGGGGGAGTGGGGGGGGGGGTAGGGGGGGGGGGGTGGGATAATGGGGGGGGGGGGGGGGGGGGGGGGGGGGGGGGGGGGGGGGGGGGGGGGGGGGGTGTAAGGGGGGGGATGGGGTGGGGGAGGGGGGGGGGGGGGGGGGGGGGGGTGGGGGGGGGGGTAATTGGGGGGAAATGGGAAAGGTGGGGAAGGTATTAATGGGGGGTGGAAAAATGTGTAAGTGGTGTGAAGGGTGTTGGGGGGAAGTGGTAGATGTGATCTATTGTACTTCAAAGAGACACATCATCGGTCTGCTGGTGGTGGTGGGGGTGCTGTCTGTGGGCATCGTGCTCCCAGTCAACTTCTCTGGAGACCTGCTGGGTGAGACCATGTGACCTCGAGACCATGTGACCTGCTGGGTGAGACCATGTGACCTCGTGACCATGTGACCTGCTGGGTGAGACCATGTGACCTCGTGACCATGTGACCTGCTGGGTGAGACCATGTGACCACGTGACCATGTGACCTGCTGGGTGAGACCATGTGACTTGCTAGGTGATACCATGTGACTATGTGACCTTCTGGGTGAGACCATGTGACTGTGTGACCATGTGACCTGCTGGGTGAGACCATGTGACCACATGATCATGTGACCTGCTGGGTGAGACCATGTGACCTCGTGACTATGTGACCTGCTGGGTGAGACCATGTGACCACGTGACCATGTGACCTGCTGGGTGAGACCATGTGACCACGTGACCCTGTGACCTGCTGGGTGAGACCATGTGACCCTGTGACCTGCTGGGTGAGACCATGTGACCACGTGACCATGTGACCTGCTGGGTGAGACCATGTGACCACGTGACCATGTGACCTGCTGGGCGTGACCATGTAACCGTGTGACCCTGTGACCTGCTGGGTGAGACCATGTGACCACGACCATGTGACCTGCTGGGTGAGACCATGTGACCACGTGATCCTTTGACCTGCTGGGTGAGACCATGTGACTGTGTGACCATGTGACCTGCTGGGTGAGACCATGTGACCACGTGACCATGTGACCTGCTGGGTGTGACCATGTGAACTGCTGGTTGAGATCATGTGACCTGCTGGGTGGGACCATGTGACTGTGTGACCATGTGACCTGCTGGGTGAGACCATGTGACCACGTGAACTGCTGGGTGAGACCATGTGACCACGTGACCCTGTGACCTGCTGGGTGAGACCATGTGACCACGTGACCATGCGACCTGCTGGGTGAGACCATGTGACCACGTGACCATGTGACCTGCTGGGTGAGACCATGTGACCACGTGACCTGCTGGGTGAGACCATGTGACCACGTGACCATGTGACCTGCTGGGCGTGACCATGTGACCGTGTGACCCTGTGACCTGCTGGGTGAGACCATGTGACCACGTGACCATGTGACCTGCTGGGCGTGACCATGTGACCGTGTGACCATGCGACCTGCTGGGTGAGACCATGTGACCACGTGACCACGTGACCTGCTGGGTGAGACAATGTGAACCACGTGATCCTTTGACCTGCTGGGTGAGACCATGTGACTGTGTGACCATGTGACCTGCTGGGTGAGACCATGTGACCACGTGATCCTTTGACCTGCTGGGTGAGACCATGTGACTGTGTGACCATGTGACCTGCTGGGTGAGACCATGTGACCACGTGACCCTGTGACCTGCTGGGTGAGACCATGTGACCACGTGACCATGTGACCTGCTGGGTGAGACCATGTGACTGTGTGACCATGTGACCTGCTGGTTGAGACTGTGTGACCATGTGACCTGCTGGGTGAGACCATGTGACTGTGTGACCATGTGACCTGCTGGGTGAGACCATGTGACTGTGTGACCATGTGACCTGCTGGGTGAGACCATGTGACCACGTGAACTGCTGGGTGAGACCATGTGACCACGTGACCCTGTGACCTGCTGGGTGAGACCATGTGACCATGCGACCTGCTGGGTGAGACCATGTGACCACGTGACCATGTGACCTGCTGGGTGAGACCATGTGACCACGTGACCTGCTGGGTGAGACCATGTGACCACGTGACCATGTGACCTGCTGGGCGTGACCATGTGACCGTGTGACCCTGTGACCTGCTGGGTGAGACCATGTGACCACGTGACCTGCTGGGTGAGACCATGTGACCACGTGATCCTTTGACCTGCTGGGTGAGACCATGTGACTGTGTGACCATGTGACCTGCTGGGTGAGACCATGTGACCACGTGATCCTTTGACCTGCTGGGTGAGACCATGTGACTGTGTGACCATGTGACCTGCTGGGTGAGACCATGTGACCACGTGACCCTGTGACCTGCTGGGTGAGACCATGTGACCACGTGACCATGTGACCTGCTGGGTGAGACCATGTGACTGTGTGACCATGTGACCTGCTGGGTGAGACCATGTGACCACGTGACCCTGTGACCTGCTGGGTGAGACCATGTGACTGTGTGACCATGTGACCTGCTGGGTGAGACCATGTGACTGTGTGACCATGTGACCTGCTGGGTGAGACCATGTGACTGTGTGACCATGTGACCTGCTGGGTGAGACTGTGTGACCCTGTGACCTGCTGGGTGAGACCATGTGACCACGTGACCTGCTGGGTGCGACCATGTGACCATGTGACCTGCTGGGCGTGACCATGTGATCATGTGACCTGCTGGGTGAGACCATGTGACCACGTGACCATTTGACCTGCTGGGTGAGATCATGTGACTGTGTGACCATGTGATTTGCTGGGTGAGACCACGTGACCATGTGACCTGCTGGGTGAGACCATGTGACCACGTGACCCTGTGACCTGCTGGGTGAGACCATGTGACCTGCTGGGTGGATCTGAGGCTCTGTTGAGGTGGAGCTCTGATGCTAACGGCACGGTGGCTGAGTGGTTAGCACTCTCGCTTCTCAACAAGAAGGTCTTGGGTTCAAATCCCGGTCGGAACAGGGCCTTTCTGAGTGGAGTTTGCATGTTCTCCCCGTGTCTGCGTAGTTTCCTCCGGGTGCTCCGGTTTCCCCTCTGAATGTAAATGAGAGAGTGAATGATGGTGTTGGAGCTGATGGTCCAGTGTGTTCTGGACTCGCTTCTGTCATCACCGTGTGTGGAAGGATTGGAACAATATCTGACTCTGAACATTGGAAAGAGCTTTGGGTCTGTGCCTTGGTCTGTAACATGTGCTATATAAATAAACATGACTTACAGCACTTACTAACGACTTTAAGCTAGCAGGCTTTATGGTTTACAGTCTGTAAAACAGCTGCTTTACTAGCTGCTGGACTACCTGCTTTAGTCCAGCTTTAGTCCAGCTTTAGTCCTGCTTTAGACCTGCTTTAGTCCTGCTTTAGTCCAGCTTTAGTCCAGCTCTAGTCCTGCTTTAGACCTGCTTTAGACCTTCTTTAGTCCAGCTTTAGTCCTGCTTTAGACCTGCTTTAGTCCTGCTTTAGACCTGCTTTAGTCCTGCTTTAGTCCAGCTTTAGTCCTGCTTTAGTCCAGCTTTAGTCCAGCTTTAGTCCAGCTTTAGTCCAGCTTTAGTCCTGCTTTAGTCCTGCTTTAGACCTGCTTTAGTCCAGCTTTAGTCCTGCTTTAGTCCTGCTTTAGTCCTGCTTTAGTCCTGCTTTAGACCTGCTTTAGTCCTGCTTTAGTCCAGCTTTAGTCCAGCTTTAGTCCTGCTTTAGTCCTGCTTTAGACCTGCTTTAGTCCAGCTCTAGTCCTGCTTTAGACCTGCTTTAGTCCTGCTTTAGACCTGCTTTAGTCCTGCTTTAGTCCTGCTTTAGTCCTGTTTAGACCTGCTTTAGTCCTGCTTTAGTCCTGCTTTAGACCTGCGTTAGTCCTGCTTTAGTCCTGCTTTAGTCCTGCTTTAGACCTGCTTTAGTCCTGCTTTAGTCCTGCTTTAGACCTGCTTTAGACCTGCTTTAGTCCTACTTTAGTCCTGGTTTAGTCCTGCTTTAGTCCTGGTTTAATTCTGCTTTAGTCCTGGTTTAATCCTGGTTTAGTACTGGCTGAGTTCTGGTTTAGTCCTGGTTTAATCCTGGTTTAATCCTGGTTTAGTCCGGGTTTACAGTGAGTAAAAAGTGTTTCTGGTGTGTTTGGGTTCAGTCCGAATCCTCAGCGTTGAAGCGTTTCTCAACATGGGATCCCCAGGTCCACCGTCCAAAGAAGGTACTTTAGAGCTGACCTTAGAGCTGACCTTAGAGCTGACATTAGAGCTGACCTTAGAGCTGACCTTAGAGCTGACCTTAGAGCTGACCTTAGAGCTGACATTAGAGCTGACATTAGAGCTACATTAGAGCTGACCTTAGAGCTACATTAGAGCTGACATTAGAGCTGACCTTAGAGCTGACATTAGAGCTAACATTAGAGCTGACATTAGAGCTACATTAGAGCTGACATTAGAGCTAACATTAGAGCTGACCTTAGAGCTACATTAGAGCTGACATTAGAGCTACATTAGAGCTGACCTTAGAGCTGACCTTAGAGCTACATTAGAGCTGACATTAGAGCTACATTAGAGCTGAGCTTAGAGCTGACCTTAGAGCTGACATTAGAGCTAACCTTAGAGCTACATTAGAGCTGACATTAGAGCTGACCTTAGAGCTTCCTTCTTTAGAGTCCTTTGAGTCCTCAGACCAAGACCAGACCAAGACCAGACCAAGACCAAACCAAGACCAGACCAAGACCAGACCAAGACCAGACCAAGACCAAACCAAGACCAAAACAAGACCAGACAAAGACCAAGACCATGACCAGACACAGACACAGACCAAGACCAGACCCAGACCAAAACTAAATCAGACCCAGACTAAGACCTAGACCAAGACTAGAGCCAAACTAAGACCCAGACCAAGACTAAACCAAGACCCAGACCAAGACCAAGACCAGACCAGACCAAACCCAGACAAAGACCAAGACCAGACCAGACCCAGACAAAGACCAGACACGGACTGAGAACAGACCCAGACTTAGACCCAGACAGACCGACACAGTGTTGTAGGGACTAGTTCTTGGTGCTAGCCCATGTGTAAACCCAGTTAGTTTCCCATAACCAGCGGCCTCCTCTTTATAGTCCCTGTGTTTGATGGTCCACACAGACAAATCCTGCTGGACACTCTTTATAGTCATGAAGCTCAAGCGGATGTTCAGACTGAAAGACAGAGTGCCTGCCAGCCTCAGCCAATCACACAGCTCTGCCAGCCTCGAGCCTCAGCCAATCACACAGCTCTGCCAGCCTCGAGCCTCAGCCAATCACACAGCCAGGCCAGCCTCGAGCCTCAGCCAATCACACAGCCAGGCCAGCCTCGAGCCTCAGCCAATCACACAGCCAGGCCAGCCTCGAGCCTCAGCCAATCACACAGCCAGGCCAGCCTCGAGCCTCAGCCAATCACACAGCCAGGCCAGCCTCGAGCCTCAGCCAATCACACAGCCAGGCCAGCCTCGAGCCTCAGCCAATCACACAGCCAGGCCAGCCTCGAGCCTCAGCCAATCACACAGCCAGGCCAGCCTCGAGCCTCAGCCAATCACACAGCCAGGCCAGCCTCGAGCCTCAGCCAATCACACAGCCAGGCCAGCCTCGAGCCTCAGCCAATCACACAGCCAGGCCAGCCTCGAGCCTCAGCCAATCACACAGCCAGGCCAGCCTCCTGCCAACCCTCTCACAGCAAAGCGGGCAGTTTAAAAGGCAGCCACTTCCTGACAAACAACGCTTCCTGAGGCTCTTAAACAACCACCACCTCCCCAGCACCCCCTCTGGCTCTTGGCTCCCGCTCTGGCTCCCGCTCTGGCTCCCGCTCTGGCTCCCGCTCTGGCTCCCGCTCTGGCTCCTGCTCCGGCTCCTGCTCCGCCTACGCCCCATTCACACCATACTCTAGCCACCACCAGTGCTTGACCCCGGGGGATCTGAGATCATCTTCAGCTGCAATCGATCTCATTGCTGCAAGTGTCACTGCCGGGGTCAATGCGCCAAACAAATAAATCATTTTAATGTATTTATCGTGTCTTTGGTCTCTTCAGATTGAACCTGTGTTTGATGGTCCACACAGACAGATCCTGCTGGACACTCTTTATAGTCCCTGTGTTTGATGGTCCACAGACAGATCCTGCTGGACACTCTTTATAGTCCCTGTGTTTGATGGTGTTAGTCTCTGTGGTTGATGGTGTTTATAGTCCTTGTGATTGATGGTCCACACAGAACAGACTCAGACTTATCTCATCTCTTCGGCCTCATAATGAAAAGCTGCTCTTTGCTGGTGCTGATGGAGTGGTCTGGTCTGGTCTGCTCTGAGACCATGTGCGACCGAGAGTCTGATGAAGGGCCGAGCGGCAGCAGCTCAGACAGATCTGGTTTAAACACATTTTAACAAAACAAATCTTGTGTTTGCAGAAAACAACGCCTACAGTTTTGGACGGACGACCATCGCCAACCTCAAATCTGGGTAAGTGACCGCTGCTCACTCTGGTCTCTCTCTGGTCTCCCTCTGCTCTCTCTCTGGTCTCTCTCTGCTTTCCCTCTGGTCTCCCTCTGGTCCTCCTCTGGTCTCCCTCTGGTCTCCCTCTGGTCTCCCTCTGGTCTCTGTCTGGTCTCCCTGCTCTCTCTCTCCGGTCTTCCTCCGGTCTCCCTCTGCTCTCCCTCTGGTCCTCCTCTGCTCTCTCTCTGCTCTCCCTGTGGTCTCCCTCTGCTCTCCCTTTGGTCTCTCTCTGGTCTCCCTCTGGTCTCTCTCTCTGGTCTCCCTCTGGTCTCTCTCTGGTCTCCCTCTGGTCTCTCTCTCTGGTCTCCCTCTGGTCTCTCCCTCTGCTTTCTTTCTGCTCTCCCTCTGGTCTCCCTCTGGTCTCCCTCTGGTCTCCCTTTGGTCTCTCTCTGGTCTCCCTCTGGTCTCTCTCTCTGGTCTCCCTCTGGTCTCTCCCTCTGGTCTCTCCCTCTGCTTTCTTTCTGCTCTCCCTCTGGTCTCCCTCTGCTCTCCCTCTGGTCTCTCTCTCTGCTCTCTCTCTGCTCTCCCTCTGGTCTTCCTCTGGTCTCCCTCTGCTCTCCCTTTGGTCTCTCTCTGGTCTCCCTCTGCTCTCCCTTTGGTCTCTCTCTGGTCTCCCTCTGGTCTCTCTCTCTGCTCTCCCTCTGGTCTCTCTCTCTGCTCTCTCTCTGCTCTCCCTCTGTTCTCCCTCTGGTCTTCCTCCGGTCTCCCTCTGCTCTCCCTCTGGTCTTCCTCTGGTCTCCCTCTGGTCTCCCTCTGGTCTTCCTCTGGTCTCCCTCCGGTCTCATCAGTTCTTGTGTGTAGGACTAACCTCCTGTGGCTGCATACGACCTTCGCCTTCATGTATCTGCTGCTCACCGTCTACAGCATGAGGCGCCACACGTCCAAGATGCACTACAAGGAGGACGACCTGGTGAGGCCACGCCCCCACAGCAGGAGACCACGCCCCCACAGTATCAGGCCACGCCCCCACAGCAGCAGACCACATCCCTAAAGCAGAAGGGCACTACCCCACAGCACCACACCCCCACAGCAGGAGACCACACCCCCACAGGAGGAGACCACACCCCCACAGGAGGAGACCACACCCCACAGCAGGAGACCACACCCCCACAGCAGGAGACCACACCCCACAGCAGGAGACCACACCCCACAGCAGGAGACCACACCCACACAGCAGGAGACCACACCCCACAGCAGGAGACCACACCCACACAGCAGGAGACCACACCCACACAGCAGGAGACCACACCCACACGGCAGGAGACCACACCCCACAGCAGGAGACCACACCCCCACAGCAGGAGACCACACCCCACAGCAGGAGACCACACCCACACAGCAGGAGACCACACCCCCACAGCAGGAGACCACACCCCCACAGCAGGAGACCACACCCACACAGCAGGAGACCACACCCCACAGCAGGAGACCACACCCACACAGCAGGAGACCACACCCACACAGCAGGAGACCACACCCCCACAGCAGGAGACCACACCCACACAGCAGGAGACCACACCCACACAGCAGGAGACCACACCCACACAGCAGGAGACCACACCCACACAGCAGGAGACCACACCCACACAGCAGGAGACCACACCCACACAGCAGCAGACCACACCCCCACAGCAGGAGACCACACCCCCACAGCAGGAGACCACACCCCACAGCAGGAGACCACACCCCCACAGGAGGAGACCACACCCCACAGCAGGAGACCACACCCCCACAGCAGGAGACCACACCCCACAGCAGGAGACCACAGCAGGAGACCACACCCACACAGCAGGAGACCACACCCACACAGCAGGAGACCACACTCCCACAGCAGGAGACCACACCCACACAGCAGGAGACCACACCCACACAGCAGGAGGCCACACCCCCACACACCAGTCCAAAATGACACAAACACTACTGAGCTAGAGGATTCAAACTTCATCATGAGCACTTCCCTGTTGGCCTCATTGAGCTAGCATGTTAGCTTGTCTCTCTGTGTACAGTCTGGGGTCTGAACCATGTGAGTTGATGGTTTCTTTGATCTATCTTCTGCAGGTGAAGCGCACATTGTTCATAAACGGCATTTCCAAATACGCAGAAGAGTCTCAGATCAAGCAACACTTTGAGTGAGTGACACCTGGTTTTACTCTTGATGGTCCTCACCCCGGGGTTTTCCACTCATGGTTCATGGTTGTGTGAGAAACCCCTCGTCTGACCCTGATCATTAGTCTCCATCCCCCTGCTCTCAATAATGTGTCTGGCCCTTTACCATCAAGGAGTCTTTTGTGGTTGTTCTGGTCTCTCTCTTTCTGGTCTCTCTCGGGTCACTCTCTCTGGTCTCTGGTTACTGCTTGGTTTCTTCCTGATCTCTTCCTGGTCTCATTGACTTTCTGGTCTCTCCCTAGTCACTGGTCCCTCCCTGGTCTCTGTTCTCTCTGGTCTCTTCCTGGTCCCTCCCTGGTCTCCTCCTGGTCATGTGTATGTGTGTGTGTGTGTGTTTGCAGACAGGCGTATGAGAACTGCCTAGTCCTGGAGGCTCTCTGCTCTCTTCCTGGTCTCTGCTCTCTCTGGTCTCTCTCTGGTCTCTCTCTTCTCTCTCTCTGGTCTCTCTCTGGTCTCTCTCTTCTCTCTCTCTGGTCTCTCTCTGGTCTCTCTCTGGTCTCTCTCTGGTCTCTCTCTGGTCTCTCTCTGGTCTCTCCCTGGTCTCTCCCTGGTCTCTCTCTGGTCTCTCTCTCTGGTCTCTCTCTGGTCTCTCTCTGGTCTCTCTCTGGTCTCTCTCTGGTCTCTCTCTGGTCTCTCTCTGGTCTCTATCCCTGGTCCCTCCCTGGTCTCCTCCTGGTCTCCTACATGTGTGTGTGTGTGTTTGCAGACAGGCGTATGAGAACTGCCTGGTCCTGGAGGCTCGCATCTGTTTTAACGTGGCCAGACTGATGTCTCTGAACGGAGAGAGGAAGAAGACGGAGAGGAGCAAGAAGTTCTTCACGGACCTCATGGCCAAGGAGCACGTACCTACCATGATCAACCCCAAACCATGTGGGCACCTCTGCTGCTGTACCATCACCGGCTGTGAGGAGGTACCAGAGAGACCAGAGAGCAGAGAGAGAGAGAGCAGAGAGAGCGAGACCTGAGAGAGAGAGACCAGAGAGAGAGAGCAGAGAGAGCGAGACCAGAGAGAGAGAGACCAGAGAGAGAGAGACCAGAGAGAGAGAGACCAGAGAGGGAGAGACCAGAGAGGGAGAGACCAGAGAGGGAGAGCAGAGAGAGAGAGAGAGACAGAAGAGAGAGACCAGAGAGAGAAACCAGAGAGAGACCAGAGAGAGAGACCAGAGGGAGACCAGAGATAGACCATAGAGAGAGACCAGAGAGAGACCAGAGAGAGACCAGAGAGAGAGACCAGAGAGAGACCAGAGAGAGACCAGAGAGAGACCAGAGAGAGAGAGAGCAGAGAAAGACCAGAGAGAGAGAGAGCAGAGAAAGACCAGAGAGAGAGACCAGAGGGAGACGAGAGAGGCCGACCATGCCTCCATATGAATGTGTGTGTAATACCTGTGTTGTCCTGCAGGAGGAGGCGGTGAGCTTCTACACAAAGCGCGAGGCCAAACTGAAGGAGGAGTACAGGAAGGAGAAGGAGAAGGTCCACACCAAGCCCCTGGGCATGGCCTTCGTCACCTTCCAGAACGAGGCCATGACAGCCGTGTGAGTCTGCTGGCACCTCCTCAGCACCTCCTCCTCAGCACCTGCTCCTCAGTCACATCCTCCTCAGCATCTCCTTTTCACACACCTCCTCCTCAATCACCTCTGCTTCCATCTCAGACACCTCCTCCTCAGACACGTTCTCCTCAGCACCTCCTCCTCAGCACCTCCTCCTCAGCACCTCCTCCTCATTCACATCCTCCTCAGACACCTCCTCCTCAGACACCTCCTCTGCTTCCAACTCAGACACCTCCTCCTCAATCACCTCTGCTTCCATCTCAGACACCTCCTCCTCAGACACGTTCTCCTCAGCACCTCCTCCTCAGCACCTCCTCCTCATTCACATCCTCCTCAGACACCTCCTCCTCAGACACCTCCTCTGCTTCCATCTCAGACACCTCCTCCTCAGACACCTCCTCTGCTTCCATCTCAGACACCTCCTCCTCAATCACCTCTGCTTCCATCTCAGACACATCCTCCTCAGACACCTCCTCTGCTTCCATCTCAGACACCTCCTCCTCAGACACCTCCTCTGCTTCCATCTCAGACACCTCCTTCTCAGACAACTCCTCTGCTTCCATCTCAGACACCTCCTCCTCAGACACATCCTCCTCAGCACCTCCTCCTCAGACACCTCCTCTGCTTCCATCTCAGACACCTCCTCTGCTTCCATCTCAGACACCTCCTCCTCAGACACCTCCTCTGCTTCCATCTCAGACACCTCCTTCTCAGACAACTCCTCTGCTTCCATCTCAGACACCTCCTCCTCAGACACATCCTCCTCAGCACCTCCTCCTCAGACACCTCCTCTGCTTCCATCTCAGACACCTCCTCTGCTTCCATCTCAGACACCTCCTCCTCAGACACCTCCTCTGCTTCCATCTCAGACACATCCTCCTCAGACACCTCCTCTGCTTCCAACTCAGACACCTCCTCCTCAATCACCTCTGCTTCCATCTCAGACACCTCCTCTGCTTCCATCTCAGACACCTCCTCCTCAGACACCTCCTCTGCTTCCAACTCAGACACCTCCTCCTCAATCACCTCTGCTTCCATCTCAGACACCTCCTCTGCTTCCATCTCAGACACCTCCTCCTCAGACACCTCCTCTGCTTCCATCTCAGACACCTCCTCCTCAATCACCTCTGCTTCCATCTCAGACACCTCCTCCTCAGACACCTCCTCTGCTTCCATCTCAGACACCTCCTCCTCAGACACCTCCTCCTCAGACACGTTCTCCTCAGCACCTCCTCCTCAGACACCTCCTCTGCTTCCATCTCAGACACCTCCTCCTCAGACACCTCCTCTGCTTCCATCTCAGACACCTCCTCCTCAGACACCTCCTCCTACCATGAAGAAATGAATCAATGAATTTATGATGAGAATATTTTGGAGCTTTTGGTTCATTCTAACGCTCTCTGTCTCTCTTTATTCTGTTTCTTTATCTTCTCTCTCTGGTCTGTCTCTGGTCTCCCTCTGGTCTCCATCTGGTCTCCCTCTGGTCTCCCTCTGGTCTCTCTCTGGTCTCTCTCTGGTCTCTCTCTGGTCTCTCTCTGGTCTCCCTCTGGTCTCCCTCTGGTCTCTCTCTGGTCTCTCTCTGGTCTCTCTCTGGTCTCTCTCTGGTCTCTCTCTGGTCACTCTCTGGTCTCTCTCTGGTCTCCCTCTGGTCTCCCTCTGGTCTCCCTCTGGTCTCTCTCTGGTCTCTCTCTGGTCTCTCTCTGGTCTCTCTCTGGTCTCTCTCTGGTCTCTCTCTGGTCTCTCTCTGGTCTCTCTCTGGTCTCTCTCTGGTCTCTCTCTGGTCTCTCTCTGGTCTCTCTCTGGTCCCTCTCTGGTCTCTCTCTGGTCTCTCTCTGGTCTCTCTCTGGTCTCTCTCTGGTCTCTCTCTGGTCTCTCTCTCTGGTCTCTCTCTGGTCTCTCTCTGGTCTCTCTCTGGTCTCCCTCTGGTCTCTCTCTGGTCTCTCTCTGGTCTGCCTCTGGTCTCCCTCTGGTCTCCCTCTGGTCTCCCTCTGGTCTCTCTCTCTGCAGAATCCTGAAGGACTTTAACGCCTGTCAGGTGCAGGGCTGTGTGTGTCGTCAGGAGCCGCGGTCGTCTCAGTTCAGTGAAGTCCTCCACGTTTACAACTGGAGCGTCACCTACGCACCAGACCCACAGAACGTCCGCTGGTAAGACACCAGGAAGACCAGAGACCAGAGCCATACCAGAGGGACCAGGGAGAGACCAGAGGGACCAGGGAGAGACCAGAGAGAGACTTGAGACCTCAGCTTTGGCATCCAACTCACCTTGTGACCTTGTCTTTTTGCAGAGGCGTGTTCTCTGGTCTCCCTCTGGTCTCTCTCTCTGGTCTCCCTCTGGTCTCTCTGGTCTCTCTGGTCTCTCTCTCTGGTCTCCCTCTGGTCTCTCTGGTCTCTCTGGTCTCTCTCTGGTCTCTCTCTGGTCTCTCCCTCTGGTCTCTCACTGGTCCTGGGTACTTGAACTGTGACTTTAGGCTCATTTGAAAGTCAGATTTTTTCTTTCATCCTTTCATTTTGACACATTCCCTTCTGTGAAAAGTCGACACGGGTCTAAACCACACGCCTGTCTTTCACATGGTCCTCACCTGGTCCTCACCTGGTCCTCTGTTTCAGGGAGAACCTGTCGTTGGGAGGTATCTCGTGGTGGATCCGCTGCTTCATCATCAACGTAATCCTCTTCCTGCTGCTCTTCTTCCTCACCACACCAGCAATCATCATCACTACCATGGACAAGTTCAACGTCACCAAACCAGTGGAGTTCCTCAACGTGAGACCAGCAACGCCTTTGCTTAATCCAGGATGATCCGACAAAGCGTCCGCACCTGCCTCTTCTGGCACAGGACGGAACGGCACAGCTGTGAGCTCCAACAGGACTGAGCCAAACCATGACAGACGGGAGTAAAGCTGGACTAAAGCAGGACTAAAGCAGGACTAAAGCAGGACTAAAGCAGGACTAAGGCAGGACTAAAGCAGGACTAAAGCAGGTCTAAAGCAGGTCTAAAGCAGGTCTAAAGCAGGACTAAAGTAGGAGTAAAGCAGGACTAAAGCAGGTCTAAAGCAGGACTAAAGCAGGTCTAAAGCAGGTCTAAAGCAGGTCTAAAGCAGGACTAAAGTAGGAGTAAAGCAGGACTAAAGCAGGTCTAAAGCAGGACTAAAGCAGGTCTAAAGCAGGTCTAAAGCAGGTCTAAAGCAGGACTAAAGTAGGAGTAAAGCAGGACTAAAGCAGGTCTAAAGCAGGACTAAAGTAGGTCTAAAGTAGGTCTAAAGCAGGTCTAAAGCAGGACTAAAGCAGGTCTAAAGCAGGTCTAGAGCAGGACTAAAGCAGGACTAAAGCAGGACTGCAGCAGGACTAAAGCGGGTCTAAAGCAGGTCTAAAGCAGGACTAAAGCAGGTCTAAAGCAGGACTAAAGCAGGAGTAAAGCAGGACTAAAGCAGGTCTAGAGCAGGACTGCAGCAGGTCTAAAGCAGGTTCTAAATGCAGACAAAATCCAGACCACAGCAAGACTAAAGCAGGACTAAATCCAGAGCACAGCCGGACCAAAGCAGGTCTAAATCAGGACTAAATCAGGACTCAACCCGGACCTCAGCAGGACTCACCATGTCGATGGAGGACACTGGGCCGATGCTGTTCACGTAGATTCCGACGTCGATCACTGTCGGTTTCACTGCAAAAACACAAACACTCGATTAACAAACTCTTCTTAGAATCACACAAAACACTGCCTCAGTGCAATAACTGTCAGAATGTGCAATAACTAATGTCAGAATGTGCAATAACTAATGTCAGAATGTGCAATAAATGTCAGAATGTGCAATAACTGTCAGAATGTGCAATAACTAATGTCAGAATGTGCAATAACTGTCAGAATGTGCAATAACTGTCAGAATGTGCAATAACTAATGTCAGAATGTGCAATAACTAATGTCAGAATGTACAATAACTGTCAGAATGTGCAATAACTAATGTCAGAATGTGCAATAACTGTCAGAATGTGCAATAACTAATGTCAGAATGTGCAATAACTGTCAGAATGTGCAATGACTGTCAGAATGTGCAATAACTGTCAGAATGTGCAATAACTAATGTCAGAATGTGCAATAACTGTCAGAATGTGCAATGACTGTCAGAATGTGCAATAACAGTCAGAATGTGCAATAATTGTCAGAATGTGCAATAACTAATGTCAGAATGTGCAATAACTAATGTCAGAATGTGCAATATCTAATATCAGAATGTGCAATAACTGTCAGAATGTGCAATAACTAATGTCAGAATGTGCAATAACTAATGTCAGAATGTGCAATAACTGTCAGAATGTGCAATGACTGTCAGAATGTGCAATGACTGTCAGAATGTGCAATAACTAATGTCAGAATGTGCAATAACTGTCAGAATGTGCAATAACTGTCAGAATGTGCAATAACTGTCAGAATGTGCAATGACCGTCAGAATGTGCAATAACTGTCAGAATGTGCAATAACTGTCAGAATGTGCAATAACTAATGTCAGAATGTGCAATAACTGTCAGAATGTGCAATAACTGTCAGAATGTGCAATAACTAATGTCAGAATGTGCAATAACTGTCAGAATGTGCAATAACTAATGTCAGAATGTGCAATAACTAATGTCAGAATGTGCAATAACTGTCAGAATGTGCAATAGGGATGTAAATCGGTGACCGTTTAACCGGTGGTTGACGTCACAGCATTAACCGGTCAAAGCTGTCGGTTAAAAAAAAGAAAAGGGGAGGTCTGTTCATAACACTATTCTAAGCCCTATGTGACGAGCGGGTCTGTCTCGCCGCACGTGCCACATACTGTATGCACACACACACACACACACACACGCACGCACACACACACACGCACGCACGCACGCACGCGCACACACGCACGCACGCACGCACGCACACACACACGCACGCACACACACACACGCACGCACGCACGCACGCACGCACACACGCACGCACGCACACACACACGCACGCACACACACGCACGCACACACACACACACACACACACACACTTTCCCCCTCTCCATACGTAACATCCACACACATCATCTCTCCCCTCTGTTACCGCCTGCTAGTTACACACTGGCGCGGGTCAGAACTACATTGGAGCTTATATTTACACACACATACACACATACATGTATTGTACACACACATACACACATACATGTATTGTACACACACATACATGTATTGTACACACACATACACACATACATGTATTGTACACACACATACACACATACATGTATTGTACACACACATACATGTATTGTACACACACATACACACATACATGTATTGTACACACACATACACACATACATGTATTGTACACACACATAAAGACATAAAGCTACATGTTGTATTTGGTTCTGGATGTATATTGCAGTACAGAACAATATAAGTACATGTTTATATTTACTTTATGGAAAAAGTACCATTTATTCAATTTGTAAATCTCTTAAATTCCTCCGACATGTTATTTTTTTCACCGTTTCCGTGCGCCGCCGCCGCCGCCGTCTCTCGAAGTTTTTATTTCCATTGTGTGTTTCCATGACGAGTAATGGCAAAGCAGACAAAGCCTTTTGGACCATTGTTCATCAGAGCAGGTTTAAAAGTCCTCACTTTAAATCATAGAAAAGTGAGAAGTGCCTCAGTTCAAGACGATATTTTTCCGTCTCAAAAATACAAAAGTGAAAGAACTTCTGTGTCTGCGTTTCCCAGAGAAAAACATAATGACATCATTCTAAAAGGTGAAAACAATAATAATATAATAATCATTAAAACATTAAAACAATGATTTTCCAGAATACAAAAACAAGACAAAGGATGGCATCTGCTCAGTGCCTCGGGATGTGACTCTCTCCTGACTCTCTCCTTTCTCTCCTGACTCTCTCCTTTCTCTCTCCTGACTCTCTCCTTTCTCTCTCCTGACTCTCTCCTGACTCTCTCCTTTCTCTCCTGACTCTCTCCTGACTCTCTCCTTTCTCTCCTGACTCTCTCCTTTCTCTCCTGACTCTCTCCTGACTCTACCCTGACTCTCCCCTGACTCTCTCCTGACTCTCTCCTGACTCTCTCCTGACTCTCCCCTGACTCTCTCCTGACTCTCTTCTGACTCTCCCCTGACTCTCTCCTGACTCTCTCCTGACTCTCTCCTGACTCTCTCCTGACTCTCTCCTGACTCTCTCCTTTCTCTCCTGACTCTCTCCTTTCTCTTCTTTCTCTCCTGACTCTCTCCTGACTCTCTCCTTTCTCTCCAGACTCTCTCCTTTCTCTCCTGACTCTCTCCTGACTCTCTCCTGACTCTCCCCTGACTCTCTCCTGACTCTCTCCTTTCTCTCCTGACTCTCTCCTTTCCCTTCTTTCTCTCCTGACTCTCTCCTGACTCTCTCCTTTCTCTCCAGACTCTCCCCTGACTCTCTCCTGACTCTCTCCTTTCTCTCCTGACTCTCTCCTGACTCTCTCCTTTCTCTCCTGACTTTCTCCTGACTCTCTCCAGACTCTCCCCTGACTCTCTCCTGACTCTCTCCTTTCTCTCCTGACTCTCTCCTTTCTCTCCTGACTCTCTCCTTTCTCTCCTGACTCTCTCATGACTCTCTCCTGACTCTCTCCTTTCTCTCCTTTCTCTCCTGACTCTCTCCTGACTCTCCCCGACTCTCTCCTGACTCTCTCCTGACTCTCTCCTTTCTCTCCTGACTCTCTCCTGACTCTCTCCTTTCTCTCCTGACTCTCCCCTGACTCTCTCCTGACTCTCCCCTGACTCTCTCCTGACTCCCCCCTGACTCTCTCCTGACTCTCTCCTGACTCTCCCCTGACTCTCTCCTGACTCTCCCCTGACTCTCTCCTGACTCTCCCCTGACTCTCTCCTGACTCTCCCCTGACTCTCTCCTGACCCTCTCCTTCAGTTGACAGACACAGAGACAGGAGTGACCCACATAGGCTCAGGTCTGCTCCATTGCCTCGGACTCGTTGCGGTCCCAGTGTGAGGCTTCTGTTCGGGGTTGTGGGTGTCTGCAGCTGTGCCGTGTCTCCAGGGACCTGCCGTCGCCTCGTGCCCACTGACACGCACTGGTTTTGGGGCAGATGAGGAGAGTCCTGCTGGGAGGCTTCAGCCAGAGACACTACAAAACACTGGTCTCTCTCTTTCTCTTGGTCTCTCTCTCTTTCTCTTCTGACTCTCTCCTTTCTCTCCCGACTCTCTCCTTTCTCTCCCGACTCTCTCCTGACTCTCTCCTGACTCTCTCCTGACTCTCTCCTGACTCTCTCCGTTCTCTCCTGACTCTCTCCTTTCTCTCCTGACTCTCTCCTTTCTCTCCCGACTCTCTCCTGACTCTCTCCTTTCTCTCCTGACTCTCTCCTGACTCTCTCCGTTCTCTCCTGACTCTCTCCTGACTCTCTCCGTTCTCTCCTGACTCTCTCCTGACTCTCTCCTTTCTCTCCTGACTCTCTCCTGACTCTCTTCTTTCTCTCCTGACTCTCCCCTGACTCTCTCCTGACTCTCCCCTGACTCTCTCCTGACTCTCCCCTGACTCTCTCCTGACTCTCCCCTGACTCTCTCCTGACTCTCCCCTGACTCTCTCCTGACCCTCTCCTTCAGTTGACAGACACAGAGACAGGAGTGACCCACATAGGCTCAGGTCTGCTCCATTGCCTCGGACTCGTTGCGGTCCCAGTGTGAGGCTTCTGTTCGGGGTTGTGGGTGTCTGCAGCTGTGCCGTGTCTCCAGGGACCTGCCGTCGCCTCGTGCCCACTGACACGCACTGGTTTTGGGGCAGATGAGGAGAGTCCTGCTGGGAGGCTTCAGCCAGAGACACTACAAAACACTGGTCTCTCTCTTTCTCTTGGTCTCTCTCTCTTTCTCTTCTGACTCTCTCCTTTCTCTCCCGACTCTCTTCTTTCTCTCCCGACTCTCTCCTGACTCTCTCCTGACTCTCTCCGTTCTCTCCTGACTCTCTCCTTTCTCTCCTGACTCTCTCCTTTCTCTCCCGACTCTCTCCTGACTCTCTCCTTTCTCTCCTGACTCTCTCCTGACTCTCTCCGTTCTCTCCTGACTCTCTCCTGACTCTCTCCGTTCTCTCCTGACTCTCTCCTGACTCTCTCCTTTCTCTCCTGACTCTCTCCCGACTCTCTCCTGACACTCTCCTTTCTCCCCTGACTCTCTCCTTTCTCTCATGACTCTCCTTTCTCTCCTGACTCTCTCCTTTCTCTCATGCCTCTCTCCTTTCTCTCCTGACTCTCTCCTTTCTCTCCTGACTCTCTCCTTTCTCTCATGAGCCAAATTATTGAAGTCCATTTGATTATTTATTCCAACGACTCAATTCTGCAAAGTACCATCCATGCTAATATTGCACTACTCTCTGGTCTCTCTCTGGTCTCTCTCTGGTCTCTCTCTGCTCTCCCTCTGGTCTCTCTCTGGTCTCTCTCTGCTCTCCCTCTGGTCTCTCTCTGCTCTCCCTCTGGTCTCTCTCTGCTCTCCCTCTGGTCTCTCTCTGGTCTCTCTCTCTGGTCTCTCTCTGGTCTCTCTCTGGTCTCTCTCTCTGGTCTCTCTCTGCTCTCCCTCTGGTCTCTTTCTGGTCTCTCTCTGCTCTCCCTCTGGTCTCTCTCTGCTCTCTCTCTGGTCTCTCTCTGCTCTCCCTCTGGTCTCTCTCTGGTCTCTCTCTGCTCTCCCTCTGGTCTCTCTCTGGTCTCTCTCTGGTCTTGCTGTGCTCTCTCTCTGCTCTCTCTGCTCTCTCTCTCTCGGGGATGAAGTCAATATAAAATTCAGGTATCTTGTCTTTAATTCAGAGGTGTTGAAGGCAGTTCTCGGGTCCATCTGCTCGGCTTCTCTCGGTGCCGCAGAGGT